GTCACAAAAGTACATATATCAGAGACATAAGATATCTTATCATTCTCTACCCAAAACTTCCAACATAATAGATAATGAGGCTGAGGCACTCAAATCACAGTTGTGCCAGTTAAAACTAGAATCCATTGTAATCTCAATTTTTTTTTAAATATTCACTTTGAACATAGCCCCCCTATCAGTATGCCTCAAGCAAGATTTTAAATGTACCAGTTGGGGTGACAAAAAACCATTTCAGTGTGTCCTATCAGTGTTTGATAAGATATTAGTACACTTTGTCTTTGTATAGAAATACCAAAACAAGGAATTATTTGGAAATTTGTCTGTTTCCATAGCTCCAATATGTAACAGTTGGATTTTTAAAAGAAGTAAAATGATGACATTCCACCAGATGTCACTGTTTGCATGTAGCAATGAAGTTACAATGATTTTAAAAAATACAATTTTCCCCTCCTTGATCCTCTTTTATTAAAAAATTCTATATGGTTCACAAGTATTCTATAAACTCATTTAATCGAAACAGTATTCTCTAATTTTTTAAATGCTTAGAAAATGTTCATATACTGTTACTTCATATTTTAAACAAAAAATTATGCAGTGCTAAAGAAAATTATTTGCAGATTCTTATTTTCAAATCTAAATTTTTTCCAGACCTAGGGAAAAAACTGCTCTTTAGACAACATTTTCTGTAAGTCAGTGTTTTCCAAATTGTGGGTTCTGAACTCATAAGTTGCTTATGAAATCAGCTGAGTGGTTTGCTATGGGTATTTAAAAAAATGGTGTTTAGAACCATTGCATGTAATACTGTGCTGAAACTTATATGTGAGCACTCTTAAAATTTCCCTGTACATGCTGGGGATTTAGCTTAGTGGTTCCAGCGCCTGCCTCACAAGCACAAGGTCCCAAGTTCCATCCCTGGTACAAAAAAAAAAAATTTCCCTGTACACATTGTCTGTGAGTTACCTAGAAGTGACTGCCAGTCGCGTCCTGTGAAGCTCCCCCAGGCTTTGTACATCCAGGAGCAAGGTCCTTTTTCCCAAGGAAGAGACAGTGAGGCGGTGATGCAGAGCCCCTCTGCAAGATTATCCCAAGCTTCTGCTCCTTATTTCAGAGGATGTGCCTCACAGTCACCTTTGGGTAACTCACAGATCTGTTCAGAAGTATTCTAAGAGTGCTCGTGGTTTAGGACAGTGTTTTCCAAACTTCTGTGACAGGATCTTACTACAGGAAATACATTGTATAACTGGCCCCATGGAAGACTGATGCTGACTTAGAAGGGGATTTAGTTTAGACTTTCCTCTCAGAGAGGTGGGCTTATTTCCTTCATTGAACCCTTCCCTGATGATAAAAAATAATGACAATAACATCATTCACTCACTCCACTCAGCATGTTCTCTGTGTAAAGCGCTTCATGTGTTATTTTAAAGAACTAGGCTCTGGAAGACTCAATCAGTGTCACTATTCATAGGTGAGGAAGCTATGGCTTAGCAGGGAAAATGTCCTACCCAACTGTGTTAGTCTGGTTCCTGTTGTAACAAAATACCTGCGTCTGGTTAATTCATGCAGAGAAGAGGTTTATTTTGGCTTATGGTTCTAGAGGCAGGGAAGTTCAAGATTGGGCAACTGCGGTTAGTGAGGGTCTCCTGCTGCTTCAGCTCAGGGAAGAAAGTGGAAGGACAAGAAAGCTTGTGAGCCAGAGAGGAAAGGGGGGCAAATGCCCATGACAGCTAATCCAGAAAGGCATTGATCCATTCCTGAGTACTTTACCCTTATGATTCCAACTCTGTCCAGGAGGCCTCACCTCCCAGCACTACCACTTTGGGGTCCAATTCTAAACATGGATCTTGGTGGGTACAAATAATATTCAAAACGTAGCACCAACGTAGCACAGCAGGTGGCCAGAAGAGGACCTCATTCCCAAAGCCTCATTCTTTGCCTCATATTAGTGATTTTTGAGTTTCCAGAAGTTAAGAACCATCTGGGGTGTTGGGCAAATATATTAATTCTTAGGCTCTGTATCCTAAACCTACTGAATTAAAATTTCCAACAGAAGGATCTGGAAAGCTGTAGATGTGACAGGTGTTCAGGAGATTCTTATAGTCAAGCTGTTTTAGGAAAGACTGTAGCATATTGGTGGCTCTGGAACTGCAGAGTGCATTGGAATCACCTGCAGAACTGTTTCGAACATGGATGGCTGTGCTCACCTCCTGAGCTTTGGTTTCCCTGCATCTGTGATGGGACCCAGTGGGTCCGAAATGTGAACAAGTTCTTATGTGAAACTTGTCTTGGTAGTTCAGGAGTGCACATTGAGAACCACTGCAGTGTCATGTTTTCAACATATTAAGCCTATCAGTTTGCTTGTTTCTCCCATTACCACTGTAGTAATTACAGCGCTTAGGACATCTTTTGCATAGCAAATGGAGGTTAGGTAGGATTTGGAAGTAGGGTTTTTGAGATCAACGGTGCCTGATCTGCGGAGGACCTTCACTGGCAGGCTCAGGGGCTTGGGTTGTAATATGTGTGTAGTCTTTAAAGTGTCTGGAGAGAGGGTAACTAATCATAACCCTGGCAGGAGTGTATAGCATGCATTGGAGGAGAGAAAGTCTGGAGGTAAGGAAGCAGCAAAGATCATTTCACAGGAGTGTGATGAGAGAAGATGTGATGGAGAGGAGAGACACTGGAGGGAGAACGAACAGAATGAGGGATTATGGTCAGAGGTGAAGGAGAGGTTGGGATGGAGAGATTTCCAGTCTAAATCACTGAGGGGGTGATTCTAGGAAAGGTTGGTTCTTTTCTCGAGAAAGAAGGAAGGAAGCAGGGAAGATACAGAGAGAAGTTTCCAGGTAAGCGATTCATCTTTGTTACATAGGAAGAGTTGGAAACCCCAAATGGCCTTTCCTTTCCCCCATTGGTGTCTGCCGAGGTATGCACTCCGCAATGTCCAGTGACTTCTTCCACGTTCTCTCTGACCCTCTGACCTATCAACATTTCTATTTATGCTTTTGAATGTAAAAGACAATCATATAAATGATATAAGATATATAAGAAGACAAAGATATAAATGATTTTTGCTACTCTGTTTTCGGCTTACAGCCAAAGAATATTGCAGTGATTACTCAAGGGCTCCTCAAGGTAGCTTCTCAGGTCCCCCTTCTCCTCACCACTGCCACCCTGTCCCCACAAGCCAATCTCAGATCTTGATTAATTTATTGATCTTGAGGTCTCCACACTCTGGAACTCTTAGTCTCTAGAGTTCACTCCGTTCTGTTTTTCTGAATATATTTGCCAAGATTCGGTTTCAGAAAACAGAAACATCTTTAGCTGTTTGAAGCTAGAACGGACTGAGCAATGGCAGTGCACTGTGCATACAATCAATGGGAAAAATGGTTATGAGTCAAAGAGGGCTTCTGGAGACACTGAGACAGCAGGTTTGTTTGCCAAGGAAACTTCTCCTTCCGGCAGCCAGGAAGGCAGGAGAGCTAAAAGCATACTGGCAGCATACCACTTTAGCTGATATCAAGTGTCTTCCACTCTCACAGCTTTTGACTCTGGAGCCACACTATGTCTGTCTGATATGCTTACTGGTAAAATAACAATGACAACCCACAAAGGAAGCAACTGGAACACTGCCACAGAAGAGTTCTGATTGCACCACCAACAGAAATATCAGAACCTTCTGCCTTCTAAATTTTTTTTTTGTCTGTGCATCTGGGCAGTGGATCCCAAATCACATCTAGAACACGGGCTGCAGGAGAGATTTACCTCTGGCCTTGGCAGTTCAGGAAATAACATTAGGAGAAAGGCAGAGTGGGTGTTCAGTGGCAGAGATATTTAACTTCTTTTTGAGTTCAGAGGTTTTATTAGGTGAGGTTAGATAGGAAACTTATTTTTATGAGCCTACTTTGGCAAAGCCCTATCTTTACCACCCTGGCTCTGGGTGGGTCTCTTTCCTAAGGGGTGGTAGGATGGGCTTTAGGAGCTTCAGCATATTGTTAAGAAACATATCAGTTGTGTTTGTGTACTTTTAGTATTCACAGTCAGTGGGTTATAAAGTTATTGTATGTTTATATATATATATATATATGAATAAGTTAGAGGAAAATTGACAGAACTGTAGACCTCTTGTATATTTTGTTTTTATTTTACAGTCAGTTTTGGAATGCAAAAATTGATGTGTTTTCAAGCAGTTTGTGGGTCAGACAATAATACTTTCAGTCTTTAAATTTTGGTTTATTTATTTTCTTTGGCCAAATTAAGGCTCTTTGTGATTTTTGTATCTCCTAATGCATACTTAGATATATGCAGCTTGTACCTGCTAAGGAAAGAGTTGATGCCAACCAGTTTTATGCTTATCCCAGGAAGATATGAATCAAGAAGGAAAAACTATAATGTGAGAAGGCTATTCTACTTAGGCTGGGGCTCTGCCCCTGGTCTAAGACATGGAAAATTTGAGCCCAGCATGATGATGCACACCTGTAACCCCAACCACTTAGGAAGGCTGAGGCAGAAGGATTACAAGTTTGAGGCCATCCTGGACAATTTAGGCAGATCTTGTTTTAAAATGATGTAAAAAATGCTGGGAGTGTAGCTCAGTGGTAGAGCATTCCTGGGTTCAATACCCAGCAATGTCTCACCTTCACATTCCACACACACACACACCCAAAATGAAACTTTTGCTGTGCGCTTGGACTGGGGAACAGGTTAGAAATCAGATGATAGAGAAATTTTAATCTCTTTTGTAATTAGGCTTTCTTAATGTGAACTTACTATTCTAACATGATGAATCTGAGCTATGACAGAAGGTGCTTCTAAAATGTCTTCAGAACCAAATAAATTATTTTTGTATTATTTCTAGTTTTGTATTATTTAACTTCTTACAACCTCTGCTTAATGCAGATGTCAGAGGTCAGTATTGATTTCAACAGAGGTACAAAAAGACAGTAAACATTTTTTGTTTCATCAATGACTTTAAAAACAAATATATTGCTTTTGTCATATTGTAGAATACTGTATGGAATTCCTATCATGGATGAAAACCAAGAATCTGTCAGTGTTCCTCCAGTACCATCAAGGCTGCCCCCTGAAAGAGCACGGAGAACTAGCTGGCGTTTTCACAACCCACACCTGGAGCTCCTGGGACAGGAAGTAAGAACTTTCTTTCATGTTAGTTTTTTCACCTCACAGGTTCTCAAACTTTTTGGTTTAGGACCCTTTTTACACTTGTAAAAATTATTGAGGACTCCAGTAATTGTTTATGTGAGCTATATTTATTGACATTTATAATGTTAGAAATTAAAACAGAAAATTCCAAAGTATTTATTTATTAAAAGTAGGAATAATAAAGTCATATGTGTTACATAGGTAAAGTATTTCATGAAAAATGATTATGTTTTAAAAGCAAAATCATAGTGAGAAAGCTAGGATTATTTATTTATTCTGTAATGTCATCATTGTCTGGGTCTATAGAATACATCTGGGTTCTGAAGTTTGCTTCTGCATTCAATTTTGTGGTTATTTTGGTTGACATATATGAGAAAAAATGTGGCCTTACATAGATATGTACTTGGAAAAGAATAATTATTTCAGTAGCCTTTCTTATATAATTGTGGATATTCTTTAATAACACACCAAAATTTACTTTCTTTAATAACATAATACTAATGAATGATAGTTTCTTGAAAATTAGTTGTGAGACTTCCACTTCTGGAGAAAGTAGGGTAGAATCATGTTTCCCTATTCTTACTGCTCTACAATTAAAAATTGTGGATATTACAAACAAGACTCTAAAGGTGGAGAGGAGCAAGCACACTGACTAGGAACGTCAGGATCCACAGAGTGACATGGTAGTAAATCAGTTGTTTTGGTTTTCTTTCTTGCTTAATATATCCTAGACTTGAGCTGAATAAGCTGATAATGTGTGCCATTTGGTAAAGACAACCATGAGATATTTAAGCTTTTGTGTCTGATTTATTTCACTTTATGGTCTCAAGGTGTATCCATTTTTTTTTTTTTTTTTACAATGACTCAAGTTTAACCTTTATAACAGATTAGTACTCCATTTTGTATAAATGCCACATTTTCTTTATCCATTCATCTGTTGGTGGACATATAGGCTGCTTGCAAGATTTATCAATTATGAGTTGTGCTGCTATAAAATATGGGTATACATGCATTACTGTAATATGATGTCTTTAACTCTTTGGGGAAAATATTTAGAAGGGAGAGAGCTGGGTCAAATGGAATTTCCATTTTTAGTTTTTTGAAGACTCTCCATACTGATTTCCATAGTGGTTGTACTAGTTTAAGTTCCCACCTACAATTTAGAAGGGTTGCTTTTTCCCTGTAGCCTTACCAGCATTTGTTATTATTTGATTTCTCGATAACAGCCATTCTTTCTGGAGTAAGACAGCATCTCAGTATTGTTTTAATTTGCATTTCTCTAATGACCAGAGATATTGAAGTTTTTTTTTTTCATATATTCACTGGACATTTGTACTTCTAAGAAGTGTCTATTCACATTAATTGCCCATTTTGATTGGATTTTTTTATTTTGGTGGGCCTAATTTTTTTGAGTTCTTTATATATTCTACATATTAGTCTTCTGTCTGAGGAAAGCTGGGAAAATTATTTTTTTCATTTTGTTGGTTGTCTCTTCAGTCTGTTGGTTGTTTCTTTTTCTGTGAAGGAACTTTTAAATTTGATATGATCCCATGTGTTGATTCTTGATACTAATTCTTGTGATATTGGGGTTCTGTTCAGAAAATCCTTTCCTATGCCTATGTCTTCATGAATTTTACCTATTTTACATTCCAGCATAGTGGTTCTATTTTAACATTTAGATCTTTGATCCATTTTGATTTTAGTTTAGGACATACATCAGTCTGGCTTTAATCTGTATGTGGAAAGCCAGTTTTCCAAGCACCATTTGTTAAAAGAGGCTTTCTTTTTCTCCAGAGCATGTTTTTGGCCCCGTTGTCAAAGATCAGATGGCTGAATGCACCTGGAGTCATTTCTGCATGTTCCATTGATCCACATATCTGTTTTTGTGTCAATTCCATGCTTTTTTTTTTCAATCACTGCAACTTTGTAGTATAAGTTGAAGTCTGGGATTGTGACGCCTCCCATTTTGCTTTTGTTTCCCTGGATTATTTTTGGTATTCTGGGTCGGTTCTGGTTCTATATGAATTTTAGGATTGTTTTCTCTACTTATATGAGGAGTGCTGTTGAAATTTTGATTGAGATGGCATTAAATCTGTATATCAGTTTTGGGAAACAACCATTTTGACAATATAGGTCCTACCCATTCAGGAACAGGGGTATCTTTCCATTTTCTAATGTCTTATTTGATCTCCTTTTTCAGAGTACTGTAGTTTTCATTGTAGAAATTTTTCATTTCCTTGGTAAGGTTAATTCATGAGTATTTAATTTTTCTTGATGCTATTATAAATGTTGTTTTCCTTTCTTTCTTGTTAAGTTCATTATTGGTGTACAGATACACCATTGATTTCTGTGTGCTGATTTTGTCTCTTGCTATATTACTGAATGTGGTTATTAATTCTAGAAGACTTTTGGTGGAGTTCTTGGGGTCTTCTATATAGAGTATCATGTCATCTGCAAATAATGACAAGTTGACTTCTTCATTTCCTGTACACTTACTTTTGGTTTCTTTCTCTTGCCGGATTACTCTGGCTAAAGTTTTGAGTACTATCTTGAACATGAGTGGTGATAGTGGACATCCTTATCTTGCTCCTGATTTTAGAGGAAAAGCTTTCAGTTTTTTTCTCATTTCATATGGCAGTAGGTTTGTCATGAATGTCTTTTTCTTTTTCTTTTTTTTTGGTACCAGGGATCGAACTCAGGTCCTTGAGCTTGCAAGTCAGGCGTGGTGCCACTGAGCTAAATCCCCAGCCCTTGAATGTCTCTTATTGAGCTAAGATCCTTCTATACCTGTTTTCTTTGGGGATATTTATTATGAATAAATGCTCAAATTTATCAAAGACTTTTTAAAAACATATATTGAGATGACCGTATATTGGACCATCCCTACATCCCCGGTATAAAACCTGCTTGTTCATGACATAATATTTCTGATGATCCATTGCATTCTGTTTGCCATTATCTTGTTGAAGATTTTTGCATTGATATTCATTGAAGATTTCTCTTTTTTTGTTAGGTCTTTTTTTCATTTTGGGATCAGGATAATGCTGACTTCCATAATGATTTTGGAAGTACTCCTTCCCTTACAGTTTCATTACAAAGTTTGAGGAATGTTGGTGTTAGATCTTCCCTAAAGTTCTTGTAGAATTTAGTTGTGCATCCACTGGGTCTAGGGCTTTTCTTAGTTGGTAGTTTTTATATTACTGCTTTGATTTTATTGCCTGTCATTGGATTATTCAGGGTTTTAATATCTTGGTTCAGTTTTGATAATTCATATGTATATAGGAATTTATTCATTTCTTATGGATTCTAATTTATTGAAGTACAGGTTCTCAAAATAAGTTACTAATAATCTGGATTTCCATAGTGTCCATTATGATTTCACCTTTTTCATTTCTAATTCGATTGGTTTGATTCTTTTCTTTCCTTGTTTTTTCAAGATTGGCTAAGGATTTATCAATTTTGCTTATTCTTTCATAGAGCAATATCTTTGATGCATTGATTCTTTGCATTGATTTCTTAGGGTTAATTTCATTAATTTCTGCTCTGGCCTTTGTAATTTTCTTCCTTGTACTAGCTTTGGATTTGTGTTCTTACTTTTCTAGGACCTTTAGGTTCACTATTATATTATTTATTTGGGCTGTGTTTTTCTGATGTGGGCATTCACAGCTATAAACTTTCCTCTTAGGACAGCTTGCATTGTTTCCAAAAAGTTCTAATATACTGTAACTGGCATCATTATTTAATTCTAGGAACTAATTTCTTCCTTGAGTTATTCTGTGATCCATTGATTATTCGAGTGTGCCATTTAAGTTTCATGCATTTGCATCATTTGTGGTTTCTTTTGCCATTGATTTCTAGTTTCAGTGCACTATCACTTGATAATATGGATGATATAAATTCTTTTCTTTTGCATTTACTTAAGCATGCTTTCAGGTTAGCATATGCACTATTTTAGATAAAGTTCCATGTGCTGATGAGAAAGATGTGTATTCTGTTGTTGTTGGGTGGAGCACTCTGTAGGTATCTATTAATTCATTTATTCAAAGGGTTGGTTCAACTTTGATTTTTAAAATTTTTTTCTAGTTGATCCATCTATTTGTGACAGTGGGTTATTGAGGTCTCCCACTCTAATTTTATCTGATCTTTTATGTCTAATAATGGTGTATTAAGTTCATATGTTTATAATTGTTATTTCTTCCTGTTGTTATTCCATTAGTCAATATGTAGTGATCTTATTTGCTTGTTTTTATCAGTTTTGGCTTGAAATCCATATTGTCTGAAAATAGGATAGCTACTCCTGTTTGATTTTGGGATACTGTTGCATAGAATATTATTTTCCATCCTTTCATTTTGAGTCTGTGAATTCCTTTTTGAATTAAATGTGTTTCTTGCATACAACGTATCTTTGGGTTTTGTTTCTTGATCCATTTTACTAATCTGTGTCTTTTGACTGGGGAATTGAGACCATTCACATTGAGAGTTACTACTGGAAAATTATTGATGGGTCCTTGTCATTGTATTATTTTCCTGTTTCTGAGTTCATTTTTCCCCCTTTCAGCTTAACTGTTTACCTCACCTAGTGTATTCATTCTTATGGACTTTTTGGCATTGTTGGCTTCATTGTCTCCTTCTAGAATATCCTGGAGAATTTTTTGGATTGCTCATTTGGTAGTGATGAGTTTCTTAAGGCTCTCTTTGTCATGGAAATACCTCATTTCTCCATAAGTCTTGAAAGATAATTTTGCAGTATATATCAGTCTGGGTTGGAAGTTGTTTTCTTTTAGGGGTTGGCACACCTCACTCCAAACTCTTCTGGCTTTGCAGGTCTGTGATGAGAAATCTGCTGTCATTCTAATATGTTTACTTTTATAAGTGATTCATTGTTTTTTCTAACAGCTTTTAAGATACTGTCTTTGTGTTGGATTTCTGGGATTTTGGCTATATAATGTGTTATGGAGGATTTCTTTCCTGATGCAGTTATTTTG